GGTTAATGAACACCAGTCTTGCTGTCTTTCCGATCCTGGCTTTGACGTCCTTGTCTGTGCTGCTGCTTCTAGTTGAAAAAGTGCTACCCAGATACGTGTGGCATCTACATATAGTTGTTGAATGAGGGTGATAAAGATTTGTAGTATTCCGTAGTGTTGAAGCAACTGCCAAATTACTTCTCAGTCGACATCGTCGAAGGCCTTTTCAAAGTCGATAAAGTTGAAGTAGAGGATTGACTGTCATGAGAAGCATTGCATTTTGGTCTGCGATTACTCAACCTTATTCGAACTCTACAATCGACTCATTATTTGATCTATGAGTTAATAATCGACTAATCTGTTTGTTACTTTGTTATTACTATAAACATTATTGTATAGTTGTTGAAAATGATTCATCGAAAATGAAGATCTTCTTTGCTAAATTATTCGTAGCTTAGTTGATAAAACACTGAAGCCTGTAACCTAATGTTCTCTGGTTCGAGTCCGACCATAGCCTAAATTCCTTTGTACTTTTTGAATGTTTCAATGAGAGTTTTCTTTTTTCTGAAAGTGAATTTCATTCAAATCTTGAGAATGATATCAGTGAAATCTAAAATTTGCTGCTGATGAAGCTGTGACGAAACATAATGAAATGTTTTGATTTTCTAAACACCCTTTCTTATTTAATGGTAAAACATGACTCGATGGTCAACTTCCTCTATTCACCATAATCGTAACAAGTACACGAGTGTACAGTCTTATACAGTTTCTTCTTGTCCTTCCTGAGAGGAGATACAAGGAGAAAAAACTGTGAATAAAGTGGATGCTTAGTATCAGTAAACATTGTTGCAGCTACTTGTTTACCTTTCAACTAGAGTTTTAATCAGTTGAGCCAGAGGTACACCATTTACCCTACTTGTTGACAAATTTCAAAGCCCTACACAGTATAATACATAATCCTTCCTTGTTTAGAAGACCAGGATAGATCAATGGGGAACAATAGAGGCGAATAGGTGAAATGTACGAAGTAATAAGCTGTAGAAGTAGATACACCGAGTTAAACCAGTCAGCCTCAGTTTCTTTATGTAATAAGTTAAACAAAATATGAGACGACCAACAAAGATCAGATGTTAACACTCGATTTACTTTCTGTAACAGACAGACATCATGGGAATTAGGCAGCTCAAACAAGTCTGTCTTGTTTACATCTGTGGCTAAAATCAACAGTCTGACATTTAGATGAGTTTAACTTGACACCATTTGAGAGAGACCTTTGAATTTACAGGAATCTAAGTGAAAGTTAACTGGAATAGACAATGTCAGGTCAACAGCATACTTAATAAAATCAATTTCAACAGAAACGGAGGAAGTAAGGAGTAAGGTGAAGCACCTCCCTTCATAGACACTGTACTGTTTCTCCTTTCAGAAAAATAACCTATGGCTCAGTATATGCTATGACAAGTCTACTTTACAAGGTGTTGTATAGGAAAGGAGGCTGATAAATAATCCTGGAAATCAAGACAAACATACTTAACACCTTTGTTTAGACAAGAAAGTGACACCGTCTAAAGTACTTCTCCTATGTTCGTAAGCAAAATTGTTTTGGATCTCTGAAAACTTTCAATGAAGATTCAAGTACACGGAGAAGTAATTTCTTCACTGTCTTCAAGAAAGAGGACGAGTCGAAACGTAACATCTGTTCCACATGGAAGATATCTGGAAAAGGATGACATACTATATATTAATGAGATATAGTCACAGTATTAACGATTCCTCGGATTAGAGTAGAAATGAATGGCGGTTACAACTGTAATAACAGTGAATCAAATCAATTCAGATTGTGTGTTCTTATTAATGCCCATAAAGTTGAGATTTTAGGCTGAATGGTGTCATTCTACGACAACATCATCATAGAGAAAAGCTTTAGGAAAAACTGAATGATAAGGTTTTCTCCGCAATTTATTTATTAGCTTTTCCTGATGACCTTGTGTGTGATTGGCTATTTCTGTCTTCATCTTCATTTTGATTGGTTGTCTTGCTGAAATGAATTTTGACTTTCTTATTGGTTGATAGATTGGGTGAATATTGATATATATGTCTATTCATCGCTGGCTGATCTGAATATCAAGCTTCTAAAAATCTCCTAGTATTCTTTGCATTTCTTTTATCCAGCTAGGATTTTCACGTTTTCTTAGTCAAATTCATGCCCACATGGATTGATATAACCGAAGATATATCATGAAGCTTCACTGTTAATTGATATTCATTTATGTAGACGGTTATGAAGAGAGCGACCATTCTGTAGGATGTAGGGCTTTCCGAAGTTTATTTTGTTTGGTTTGTCCTCGTTCGCTATTGTATTTATTTTACGCCTTTAAAACAAAAGGTGAATGATAGAGTCACTCGTTGCCATGAAACGGCTAAGTGTACTCTATTTCGTTTGTTCAAACTGTTAGCAGTTGCCTAATATATTGTAAAGGTAGTGCTGTCAATCTTTCTTCGCATAACTCAAAATCTTAAGGTTCACAAAATTGACATTCGCTGAAGTAATACACTATCTTCTCGACAGTCTTCTTAACACGGCTCCACGACTGCCCATAACCCTTCATTTCTTCCTCACACGACCTACTCCATGTCAGCCTCGGATACCCAACTCGCCGTTTCCTATCTGGGTTCCACTCAAGTCCCTAGCGCGTGATGTCCCCATACGGTCTGCATGTTTGTTGAGCGACAGCTTCTTGCTTCACCGGTTCGTTACCAGTCACACTTCCTCCTTGCTTACTCTTCCTCACCACCTGCTCCCCATCTTCAGTATCCAGCGAGTGTAGGTGGCAGCTGTTGATGATGTATGTCTGTAGTTTGTTGGGAATGTTTTCCGTAATGCGCCAACTCTCTCAACCATCACATAGAAGCATTGACTTACTTGACTGACATTAGTAGTGTTGAAAATTCGGATGTTGTTCACACTTTATGCTGAGTACAGTCCATTGCAGTGCAGTAGATCTCCAAACTGATTTCACATTAATGAAGGAAGTCCTGTATTGCTGTCTTTCCAATCCTGGTTTTGACGTCGTCATCTGTGCCTGTGCCGCCAGTAGTTAAGACGATACTGCCACCTAGGTAGGTAGGTGAAACAAACAACTTCCTTTAGATTTCTCCAGTTCATGGTGATTGTTGTTGGTTGGGTATCTTCTCTACGTTCATCTGGAAGAAGTCTCGTCTTCGGTATCCTGCCTTGTTGGCTTTCATCTGTAGATTTTCGAGTTTGCTCGACAAGACATTCGACACAAATCATCATCGGCGAAATTCGAATCTTCAAGGGTCTTCTCATCGGTTCAGCCAGAGTTTGCACATCTTCTCGCTCTTCATAGTTGTTTCTTGCATGATCGAGTCGACCACAATAAGGAAGATCATCCGTAGACCTATGATCTAACTTCAATGTCATCTACAGAATACAAGGAATTCTCATGAAAGCTGAGAGACTTAACCTTCTTATTCAAACTGAGGAAATCATAATCATTCATATATTAAAGCCTGAACTCTGGATACAGAAGTTTGTCCAGCCACTAAGCTTACCGTCAGAAAAAAGTGTTACCGCTTTTAAGCTCAACCTTGACACATTTACCACACAACTGAGTAGTTTCTCAACAATAATGATTTTCCATTGGGAAACCACTCCAAGTCAGCCAAGATCATAAGGTGTGATTTTTGACACGAAAGTGTCATGAATTAGCGAAATATACTACTCCTGAGCAAATTGAGTAGTGTGTGCCCAGTGCTAAATGAGAGGAACTCCTCTCCGGTGTTTAGATAAATGTGATCTGCCTACTCAAATTGTTCAGTAATAATTATTATTATTTGTTCCTTGGATTCCTAGTGGAATACAGGGCTTCAGTAGCACGCCATCATTCCACTCTCTTCTCTGAAGTCTTTTCAACATGGCTCCACCACTGCCCACAAGCTCTCATTTCTTCCTCGCACGATCTCCTCCATGTCACCCTCACCTCGAACACCCAACTAGTCGCTTCCCATGGGGACTCCACTTGAGTGACTGGCCTGACGCGTGATGTCCCCAGTCGGCCTTCTCAGCGTATGCCAATTAAATCCATCTCCACTTCCCTCTTCTGCATATTTGTTGGGTAATAGGTTTTTGCCTCGTTGGTTCGTTCCCAGAGCTCCTTGTTGCTTATTCTTTCTGGCAATACATCTGATCTTCAGTAACGAGTGAGCGTAGGCAGTTGATGATGAATGTCTGTAGTTTGTTGGAAATCCCTTTCGTAAGGCACCAAGTCTCTGAACCATACAGAAGCACTGACTTGACTGACGTCGGTGTTGAAAATGCGGATGTTGTTCCACATGCTGAGTGCAGAAGATCTCTACACTGGTTTCAGGCTGATGAACGCCTGTCTTGCTTTTGCGATCCTGGCTGATTTTGACGTCCTCGTCTCTGCCTGTGCCGCCTATGGTTGAAATGTTGCTTCCTAGATAGATGAAGGAGGCTAATTCCTTTAGATTTCTCCCGTTGATGGTGATCGGAGCTTCTTGTTGTTGTTGTTTGGGTATCTTCATCACCTCTGTCTTCTCTACGTTCACCTGAAGGAAGTCTCGTCTTCCTTGACTGCCCTGCCTCTACTGTCAACTTGTTAGTTTTCACCTGCAGATCCTCAAGTTTGTGTGACATCAGATATAAGTCAAAATTTTCTAGGTTTTTTTCCGCTGTCCAGCGTATCCCCCTCTTCTCTCTCCTCACTGTTTGTTGCATGATCCAGTCCACTACAATCAGGAAGATCATAGGTGATAGTGGGCGGTAGCCTTGTCTTACTCCTGTCTTCACTTCACTTCGAAGGCATCACTAAGCTTCCCATTGTGAATCACTTGGCATGTTGCGTCTTCATATAGTTGTTGACTGAGGCTGATAAAGGTTTGTTGCACTAAGACGGTAGTGTTGAAGCAGCGGCTGGCAAATTACTTCTTGGTCGACGCTGTCAGTGCATCCTTTAGCCTCTCCAGGATGATGCGGCTTAATATTTTGCTTGCATTGGGTGGACAGCAGCATGATTCCGCGCCAATTCTTGGTAACACTGAGGTCTGCCTTCTTTGGAGTTTGACCAGGTAGCCCTTCTTCCAATCTGCAAGTACCTTCCCTTCTTTCCTTCCTTCCAAACCTTCTGCAGTGGTGGTATGAGCATGTCCTCTGTTGTCTCTGCGTCTGTTCTCAGTGCTTCTGGCGGGATTCCGTACGGTCCTGCCTCTTTCTCGCATTTCAGTAGCTTTATGGCATTCACGACTTCGACTTTTATTGGAGGAAAGTTCTTAAGTAGTATCATAGAACTTAGTTACTTAGCCTTCCAATAAATGTTTACTTCTTCATTATGTGATTCATTCTTCGAATATTCAGATCTTTACCAAACAAATAATTGTCATGTATATATGATTGAGATTTCATGGCTTTGATTCAGCTACCAACAGCCTGTGTATATCAAGAATCGGTTATATCTCTGAGTTGACTACATTGCCATCTCGGTCTCCTGTTGGATTAACAGACTGAAAGAAATGCCCAATATTGGTTGTTCTGAACAAGTTTATCTTACACCGACTAACGTCATATCAACTGACTCAGACGACAGAAGATCAACTTAGATTGTTGTATTCAGCTAAATGTAGAAGAAAGAATGAGGAGAAAGACAAATGGTATGTAGGATATTCATAATTATCGATCGATTAGTTACGGTTTTCATTCTTCTTGGAGGTAGGGATATGCTTTGAATAGACATAAATGATGCATCCATATTGTTTGAGATCATCAAAAAGGTACATTTAAACAACAGTTTTACAATGAGATATAAAGAAAGGATGGAACAAACAAGAGTGAAAATTTAACTCAAAACAAATGAACTAGGCATTACTTGAATTACCGAAGTCTTCTATTCAAATAACATGAAAGGCAATAGGGATTAGTGGCACTTGTCAGCTGGATATATCTGCCTTCCAGAGAACGATGCTCTTCCCACTAAGACTGGTCGTTTCAAACACCACAGCCTTATCCACTGAGCTACCGAATCATGATAGCCGTATTATGTGGGACGGGTTGGTTGCTTGTTTTATCCCATAGTTGATTGGATCAAATTGATCATTGTCTGGGGGGTATATGGGCTCCCAAAAACTTAAAAAAACTCTGATATCATTCCTCGTCCTGCTGATCATTTCATGTTAAAATTATGGAGATATGAGTACCTGATAGGAAGTGGCGTAAATGCAAACCGACATTTTAACTTATCGCCCGCTAAGGTAGACATCTTTATAGTTCAAATTTTCTTTCATGTCACTAGGCTGTGTGGTCAAGAAAAAACCCTATTGGCCGATTTCATCTTAAAATTGACCAATCAGAATAAGCTATCCACAACGTTTGACCTAGTAGTTGTATATTTTCATTAAAACTGTTGTATACTAGCGATGAAGTCCTTGTCTTCTGATATTTTCGTGGCTCAGTGGAGACGCTATATACCCCTAATTTTGCATAGCTTTTATCTGCTGTTTAGCGCATGACCTTAAAATAACTTACATGGCTGTTTCCATACTGTTGTTCGTTTTTCTCCCCCTCTGTTCTCAGGGCTGAACTCTGATTGGTCGTTAGCCCTCTTGGCCTAAACGCGGATTTATGGCCGTCAAGGTCACTTAGAAATGTACATATTCAGTATTTCTATCAAGTATATTGTCAGCAAAAGCTCTCTGTGCACGATCTGTCTTCCCTCCTAGTTTTTTCATTGTTGTGGTTGACGTTCTGATTAGCATTAGAGTTGATTCATTTGCGCGTTGGGTTCATAGCCTGCTAGGCTTTTATCCCTCGTAGACTGTTAGACTATAGTACCCGTAACAGCGGAAGTATAAGGTACTGAGACAGAACAGTCGCTATTCGCATCCAGTGAAACTATCGCATTACATTAGTATTGTTCGCCGTATTTCTTATGATTCACTCAGTCAATTCAGTATCTATCCGGTTTGATGAGTATACGGTAAAGAATCTCATAATGAACATATTACAAATGAGTTCAGTGGAACTGTTAGCCAATCAGTTAAAACAACCCATAAAGTGAATATCCCCACAACATTTTGACAGACAAAATCAACGTAAAACGTCGCATAGAAGTGTATCGCTTCAAGTTACCACACTTCACAGTAGATCTGAAGATGGTGATTAGTGTATATATTCAACCTTTAAAAGATGTAGGAGAGTGAATACATCTACGCAACTGCAACCGACTTTCAACCATGCCACCAAGAGTCCTCAACCACAGATTTCTACCGTCGCAGGGACCCTAATCAAGCGGTCTACATCTCCCTCTATACAGTACAGGTCAGCAGTCAATGCGTGTCACATCTTGGTCTTGACACCAGCAACCCTCTTCTAAACTAATCCAGATTCCCCGTCGAGGTAGGCCGTAGTTCGGCATGCACAGCACATATCCAAGCTCCCACACCTGATGAACGTTAACAGCCTTCCTCGTTCGTTCATTTCTATGTACGAACTGCATTCAGTTAATTTGGTAAATATTTCCATCGTTCCTCGTGTCTTTCATTGACAGTTCTGGTGTTATAATTTGTTTTTATTGTTGATTGGACCGAATTGATCAGCTATTATTAGTATACGGGCTTCTGTGCAAACGCTACAATATCCGCGGTACTCTCAGTTTTGACACTGATGATGACTAGCGGTGAAATCCACTATCGGGAGTTTCATTCTATTTCGGTATGATGCATTAGCTGTTGGATCTACTTACCTCTCAGCGACTGCTGTTGTCTCAAGTAAGACTTGAACACAGAACCTATCGCTACAAACACCAGATCATTATCCATTAGGTCAATCCTTGTACCATGGGTGTAGCGTAGTCTTAAGTGTTATGTCTTGTAATTCTCCATCGTCGATGTTCCCGACTGTTAATTATAAGGATTATCTTCTGCTTTGAAATTATTTCTTGATGAGTCTTTCAGAGGAAGCGCTCTGGTTTGAAATCAATACTCAAGGTCATCAGCCGAGAAGGTAGGAGTTTAACGTCACTATGTGGGCGGGAGGACCTTATTGGACAATTCAGATGACCAATCAAAATGAACGTCACGTTCTTTACTATATACCCCTAACTTCATTTTTGACCTTGAAATAACTTATCATTGCTGTTTTCACACTTTTGCGAGTTTTTCATCCATCTACTCTCAAGGCTGAACTGTGGTTGTTAACACTTTTAACTCATATATGGAACGTATTGTCAAGGTCGTTTAGAAGTGTATGTATATTCAACATCGCTCTCAACTGTAATGGCTGTTGTTGGGACACTAAAAGTTGCCGGTCAACAGTCTATCTTCTCTTCTTGTCTCTGTGTGTCAGTGTTTTTATTGTTGGGATGATCAACGTTCCGATTAGCCTTTACAGTCAATTCGTTTGCGCCTTAGGTTCGTATCGCTTCTAGACGACTAGGTCGCATTTACCAGTTATAACAGTTTTCTTCACAGTAAAAGGCCTGTCTTTGTCTTCTGATTTTCGTGGCTCAGTGATGTATAAGGTCGGAGGAAGAACAGTCGCTATTCGTATCTACCCCAAGTGTTTCAACTGGCGTTAGTAGCGTCCTCCTGTTATTCTATCAGTCACTTCACACTGTATTATTCATATTTATTTGTCCCATGGGTTCCTAGTGGAACGTGGGGGTTCAGTAGCACGCCAAAGTTTCACTCTTCTCGACAGTATTCTTAACAAGGCTCCACGACTGCCCATAATCCTTCATTTCTCCCTTACACCAGCTCCTTAATGTCACGCCCAACTCATCGTTCCCTACTTGGCAGCCACTCGACGGCGTGGCTTGGCACGTGACGTCCCCGAATGGTATTCTCAGTGTATGTCGAATCCAATCCATCTCCACTCTCTTCTTCTGCATATTTATTGGGCGATAGGTTCTTGCTTCATTGGTTCGTTGCCAGTCAGACTTACTCCTTGCTTACTCTTTCTCGCCACCTGCTCTCCATCTTCAGTATCGAGCGAGTGTAGGCGGCAGCTGTTCATGTATGTTTGCAGTTTGTTGGGAATGCTTTCCGTAACGCGCCAACTCTCTCAACCGTCATATAGAAGCATTGACTTACTTGACTGATATTAGAAGTGTTGAAAATCCGGATGTTGTTCACGCTTTGTGCTGAGTGCAGTAGATCTCCACACTGTTTTGATGTCTTTTCGATCCTGACTCCTTTGATGTCCTAATCTGTGCCGACAGTAGTTGCGACGATGCTGCTTCCTAGGTAGGTAGGTAAAAGAGGTAACTTCATTTAAATTTCTCCCGTTCATGGTGATTGTGTTTGGTTGGATACCTTCATCACCTCTGTCTTCTCTACGTTCACATGGAGAAAGTGCCATCTTCTGTGCCTTGCCTTTTCTATCAACTTGTTAATTTATACCTGTAGATCTTTGAGTTTGTGCGACAAGATATTGAACATAAATCAACATGCGTGAAATTCAAATCTTCAAGGGTCTTTTCATTGGACAAACAGCGAGTGTATGCCCATCTTCTTTCTCATCACAATTTCTTGCATAATCCAGTCCAACACAATCAAATATTATGTTAGAGACACCTTTAAAATAATCAATGTTATCTCACTGTACTCACTTCTCCTATGAACATATATAGATGAGAAGGATCTCATTGAAATCTATGATCCCCTTTCACAACTATATACAGGTCATTTTCATAAAAAGACATTCATTTCCCTAAGAAGCCTGTCTCATGAACACAATGATGACTCTCTCTTCAGGTTACTGAAATTTAGCCAAGGCTAAGGCTAAAGACACCGACATTCCGAAGAGGATATCATATCATTCGCCTTAACAAGTTAGGATTACATCCATCTCAAAAAAACTAGCTGAATTAAGCAGCTGGTAGGATTCACCATACTCTCAGGGTAGTTTTCGTCAAGTCAAATTGATGGTGAATTGATTGACATCTCGGGGAGCCTTACTATCGTACGATAATGGTCTAGACTCGTAATCGTCGGTTTTTAGGAGACAGGAATACTTAACTTCACCGTGTAGAGCTTCTACGCATTGAGGCATTGGCATGTAATTAAGGCGTCCTGTCTTAGTATAATTGTTTTTATAATCATACCGCCGCTGACTAGATCAAACTGATCAGTCTCTATTGACATGTGGGATTTTGTGTGGATGCCTCGATTTAACAACGAAATGTGCATGCTGGATTCCACTGCTAGCTACAATCCATAATTACTGTTAACATTCTCTATGACTATAATATCCGCCAGAAAACTACCATTCCGTATTGCTCAAATGTCTCTAAGGAAGCTATTCTGCTATGTACCGATGTTTGTTACACATTCAGGAAGTTGACGATATACCTTCGGTGGGAAGTTTCTTAACATCTCATTTACTAGCTGATGTACTGGAGAATATTTGTAGCTCAGGTAGGTGGTCTTGGTTGTATTGTGTTCTCTGAGGAGCTGGGCTGGGCGAAATCATCAACACTAACTTCAGTATGAAGTGAGCTACCTGTCAATATCTCTCCGTGAGTGATTGTGTAGCTTGCTCTGACGATGTGGCCTGTGATTGGTTGTTTCCTTCGGTTGTTGTGTCATTGACTGACTCCAAAGACTTTCCTATTGGCTGTTCCTCTGCTTGACCTGTGACTTTGGTGTCGGTTATCATTTCTCTCATTGGTTGATAGATTGGGTCTATGTCTATACATCTGTTGATTGCTGACTGACTTCTAGGAATTCTCTGATGATATTCTTTGTGTTTCCTCTGTCTAAAATTTCTACATTGTCGAAATTGAATTCATGTCCATGTTGAAATGAGCGATGAAATGTAGTATGTGACGTTTAATAGCCAATTGGTGTTCATGTAGACGAAGGCAAAGAGACCGGCAGCTTTGTCCAGTGAATGTAGTGTTGACTACAGTTATTCCAGTTGATTTTGTAAATGATATTCGGTTTGTCTTCTTTGCTTGTTGCATCCTTTGGTCTGCATAATACTGTTTGCAGGGGATTTGTTGGTTTATGAGGGGCCACAGGAATCCCATAAAGTGGTTTCAGTGATCTTGTCATGATCTCCGATGTATGTTAGGATGATCCATCTCTTGATTTCTGTCGATGACTTTGTAGTTGGTGATGCACAGGATAGGATCTTCTGATGACATTTGGAGGGTCGCCGCTCTTCTTTAGGGTGGACATCAAGTAATTTTCTTCATTTCTCCGTGAAGTTGTTGTACTGCAGTGTGTTCTCGCTCTTCTGAATAGAGTCTGCACGCAAATGATCTTGTAGGTTGTTGCTATTGTAGTTGAGGGCTTGGTCAGTGTGTGTGTTGGTTTCCTGTACCCTTGGATTTCCAGCTTTCATATACTTCCATATTACTCAAATGTCTCTGAGGAACCTATTCTCCTATGTAGCGATGAAGTTTGTTACACATTCAATAAGTTGATGATATACCTTCGATAGGAAGTTACTAGTTGATGTTTATATGTTATATACCTTCTGATGACATTTGGAGGGTCGCCGCTCTTCTTTAGGGTGGACATCAAGTAATTTTCTTCATTTCTCCGTGTTGTTGTACTGCAGCGTGTTCTCGGTCTTCTGAATAGAGTCTGCACGAACTGATCTTGTAGGTTGTTGCTATTGTAGTTGAGGGCTTGGTCAGTGTGTGTGTTGGTTTCCTGTACCCTTGGATTTCCAGCTTTCCGGCATTTGTTCTACTGACTAGATCATTCAGGAATGGTAGCTGGTTGCTCAACATCCCTGCTCCACTGTGAATTTGATATCACTGAAAACATTGTTGATCAAGCTGTGAGTGTTTTCTATATCATCTTGTTGAATGATGACAAAAGTGTCGTCCACATAGCGGATCCAGAATTTTGATGAACAGACTCAAGCCAACCGTGAAGTAAAGATTTCAATTCGAAAAGTAAAGGATGGGCTGACCACTTCAAAAAACTCTTGAGTCGACCATCACCTGCAATTCGGCCAGAAATACCATCAGCAACGGCAGAACTACCAGTGAACACAAACCCTCCGACAAAAGCAGAAGTCCGAGACGCCATAAAGTTGCTGAAATCCGGAAAAGCAGTAGGACCAGGTGGACTTCCACCGGAAGCACTGAAAATGGACTCAGAGGCAACAGCAGACATGCTCATACCACCACTATTGCAGAAGGTTTGGAAGGAAGGAAAGAAGGGAAGGTACTTGCAGATTAGAAGAAGGGCTACCTGGTCAAACTCCCAAAGAAGGCAGACCTAAGTCTCTGCAAGAACTGATGTGGAGTCATGCTGCTGTCCACTCCAAGCAAAATATTATGCCACATCATCCTGGAGAATAAAGGATGCGCTGGATTCAAAACGACGACCGGAACAGGCTAGATTCACGAAGAACAAATCATGTGTGGACCAAATTGCAATGCTACACTACGCATCATCATAGAACAGAGTATAGAATGGCAGTCAACTCTCTAACTCAGCTTCATCGACTTTGAGAAGGCCTTTGACAGCGTCGACCAAGAAGTAATTTGCCAGCCGCTGCTTCAACACTACCGTCTTAGTGCAACAAACCTTTATCAGCCTCAGTCAACAACTATATGAAGACGCAACATGCCAAGTGATTCACAATGGGAAGCTTAGTGATGCCTTCGAAGTGAAGTGAAGACAGGAGTAAGACAAGGCTACCGCCTACTATCACCTATGATCTTCCTGATTGTAGTGGACTGGATCATGCAGCAAACTGTGAGGAGCGAGAAGATGGGCAAACGCCGTCTGGAACGATGAAAAGACCGTTGAAGATTTGGATTTCGCCGATGATGATCTATGTGTATCTTGTCGCACAAACTCGAAGATCTACAGGCGAAAACTAACAAGTTAACAGAAGAGGCAGGACAGCCAAGGGAGATGAGACTTCCTTCACGTGAACATAGAGAAGATAGAGGTGATGAAGATACCCAACCAACAACAACAACGGGAGAAATCTGAAGGAAATTATCTCGTTCAGAATCGTTTCAACTACAGGCGGTACTGGCATAGATGAGGATGTCAAAACCAGGATTGAAAAAGTAAGACAGGCTTTCATCAATTTGAAATCAGTGTGGAGATTTACTGTACTTAGCACACAGAACAAGATCTAGTCAAGTCAGTGCTTCTGTATGGTTCAGAAACTTGGCGTCTTACGAAAAGCATTTCCAACAAACTATAGACATTCAACAACAACTGCCGCCTACGCTCATTCCATACTGAAGATCAGATCACATGTCCAGAAAGAATAAACAACAAGGATCTCTGACAATGAACCAACGAGGCAAGAACGTATTGCCCAACAAATATACAGAAAAAGTTGAGATAGATCGGGGCATAGACTGAAAAGGTCGACTAGAGATATCACACGTCACGCCAGACCATCGAATGGAATCCAAAGGCGAACGATGAGTTGGGCGTCCGAGGCGAGGATGACAGAGAGGAGATCATGTGAAGAAGAAATGAAAGCTTGTGGACAGTCATAGAGCCAGGTTCAAAAGACTAGAGAGAAGACAGTGGAATGATGAGGTGCTACTAAAGCCCTATATTCCACTAGGAACCTAAAGGATAAATGAATAAGTAATAAATAAAGTAGAGGATACATTCGAGTTCTTTTCAAATATATAACCATGTTTAACTTGGTAGAAGTAGAACAAATAAAATTAGCGAACACATACCAAACTACTTACTAGTAGTATTCAGTAACAATGAGAAAATTCTCTCCAGTATACTACTACTCACCTGTAGATGGAAAAAAAAATGCCCAAAAGTTAACACAATTCATGATATTCTCATTCATGAAGTATTTACATGCATTTCAAGAGTAATTTTTAACATATATCCAGTAACTAGGTGATAATTAGTTCAATTAACCTCTATTATAGACAATTGATTATATCGTTGGCGACTAGTTGCTGGACAAGAGAATATACTAAAAAATGAGGCTAAAACACGTGGAATTAAACCAACTATAAGAATTCCAGTCAATCCAAAACCAATACCATCACCATCTCCAGCCCATAATTCATTACCAGACTTATTGAAACGATATATACGACAATGTTTAAGCTCTGATTGACTGTTTAATTGATTATGCATGATTATTTGGGATCCATCGAGTGAAAAATTTTCTGATATAGGAAGATAGTAATCTAAAATACAAGAAAAGTGGTAAAATATAAGTGGAACAGCTATACATAATGAAAAACAAGATATGAGAGAGAGAGAGAGACTCACCACCCCCGGTGGTCAGCCATTGAAAGTTGTCGAAAAGTTGTTTGTGTATCTGGGATCGTTGTGTAAGTGATCACATTTCTAACCATATATCAAAAGCCAGTGTAGGATACGCCAATCTAGGCCACCTTTGATAACGTTAGTATGATCGTAAAAGGTCGGGTTTACCATACTTCACTGCAAGCAGTTCTATTCTACACCTGTGAAACTGATCTCCGTAGGATTGTTCGTATCCGGTGACAATATCATGTAAGTAATTCTGAGGTACGACCAATATGTGTTCGGTTATGATGGAGATCGCTGTCAGTTAATGAGTCAAGTCATCTGGAAATATTGGCGTTGATGGCTTGGACATGTGTTATGCATGTCATCCACGTCGTTTATTATTCACTAACCCTGGGATTGGATGGAAGAAGTAGAGGGGTGGTCAGTGTATGATGTAGACCAATGGGATGAAGGATGGTTGTATCAGATTAGTATATGTTAATGTATCACGACTGCTTGGGGTTGGGGTTCGAGAGACCATGGAATTCAGTGGTAGTCATGTTATAACTTCTTCTCAATCTTCTTCGTTTCCACTACATACCTTACTGGATTACCCCTTCTAATCATATCATTCTTATTGTGTTTCTCTTTCCTACTTATCTGCTTTCAATCGCTTTATGTCTTCATAATGTTGGTTATAGTACTCTGAGTGGCGCACTTCTTCGTACCTTCGTTTTACCCTGTTTGAAGTCGATGTATAAACTTGCCACCTTTCTACCTTAACTAAAATCATATTCAAGCTGTCTACGTCTTAACCCCAGTACACGTAGAATCTTTCAAATTCCCTATGAAGAGTGTCCAGAGATGGTTGAAAGTGTACTCCTTGACTAGATGTAATACTGTCAACGTCAACAGCTATCTGTATGCTGTCTCATTAATTCAATTTATAAGAATTAACAAGGGTTGTAAGAGTTCACCATGACGATTCATATTCTGCTCAGCATTACCTCTTCAACACGACAATGTAAAACTTGGTTGGATGATTATAATATTGTTATTTGTCCTTTGGGTTCCTAGTGGAACATAGGGCTTCAGTAACACGTCTCCATTCCACTCTCTTCTCTGCAAACTTTTGAACCTGGCTCCACCACTTCCCACAAGCTCTCATTTCCCCCTCGCACCATCTTCTCCATGTCACCCTCTCCCCAGAAGCCCAACTCGTCGTTTCCCATCTGGGTTCCACTCGAGTGCCTCGACTGACACATGATGTCCCCAGTTGGCCTTCTCAGTGTGTATGACGAATCCATCTCCACTTCCTTTCAGTGCATATTTGTTGAGCGATAAGTTTTTCGTTGGTTCCTTCGCAGTCCATCCAAGCTTCAGTAACGAGTGTAGACAGTTATTGTTGTTGGTTGGATTATATTGCTATAATTCATCGTTAAGGAGGATTAGTAGATGTGATTCTCACTGTGTCTAGGGTATTTGCATAGGATTTTAGTCATTGTATTAGTAAGCGTACGCGCATGTTTACACCTGAATCGGCGTAATAAGTTTCTAGTTAGACAAGAACTCAAAGAGCACCATAATGCCCTCTCCACCACTAGTTAATTGAGAAAGCCAGTGAGAGATGGAAAAAAAGTCAAAGGAAATAGGCAATAGTAGACAGTTATTCAAACTAATCAAGGAAACTTAAACGAAAACAACCATGTTGATATGACTAGAACGATGAATGAAACATACATCGAAGAGCAGTTCATCTGGCTTCCAGCTAGTATTCCAGTAGCTATCCGCTACCAAATCGCATCCTATAGAATTTCAAAAGGTTTTCAGTAACGTGAAACAAGGAAGAAAAGTAAGATCAGAAGAGGTACTACCAGAGGTATTTAAGGACAGTAATTGGGGACCGCTCATTTGGTTACCTAATCTATAGGGAATCAGATATGATCCTTCCCCCTCCCCCTCCATCACATGTGAGCAATGCTACAAAGACGTCTATGATCACCAGCCAGCCCCTCAAAGTTAATGCAACTCCTTAAGTAAGTGAAGTGATCGACACATTTCACGACTTCATTGTCTATCATTAAACTGGGAGTGGTTGGTGTTCATGCCTAGAATATCATCTGATATTTGACAGGTATGGAACGCATACCAGTCAAATATACTCAGATTTCTACGCAACATGTTCAGCGTCTTCATCTAGTAGGACAACTTCGTTTGTATACTTCAAGTCAACTAGATGATCTCCAGCAAAATCAGAGGTACCTAAGTTTAGGTGACTCAAGTTGTCAAATAGCCCTTCTGTATCTCAGCTAAGATTATGTCAGCAACCATCTCGTTGGGTGAACTGAGAAAAATCCCAAAGTAAGTGAAATAGTCTACACATTCCACCATCGTACACTCTATCACAATGCTAGGAGTCCTTACAGCAGACCAGTCTTGAAGCAACATCTTACGTTTAATAGGTATCAGACAAACGCATACTAAACATACACAGGTTTCTGCTCAATGCCTTCACAAGACCCTACATTTTGTCAGCCTCTTCACCTAGCACGACAATATTGTCTGCATATTCAAAGTCAATTAGATGACGTCCAGGGAGTAGATTAATCCATATGAAGACAGACGTATATAAGGTTATGTCCATTAGTACGTCGATGACCAAGTTAACTACGGACAGTAACAGTCAATATCCCTGGCATGAACTACTAGTTGTCTTCAACTCACTTGACAACTCTTCATAAACCCCTACACGGCTGCATGAATTCCAGTACAGAGCTTTCATTAGTGTTACATACTTGGTAGGTATTCTTTTAACAGTTAGATACTGTCAAAAGACCTCATAGTCGACAAAGTTAAATTCCGCCTTCAGGTCAATAGATATGGTGAATGTCGGTAATTGACCAGTAGGCATACCTGTGTTCCAGAACCTGTCGGAGGGAGGAAATATGGTCGATGCATCCTCCTCCAGCTCTATCTAAAACCAACCTGGATTTCTTGAGCTCCAGTTACGCGTCAGAACCAAAGGATCGTGGACACAATATTCGTCAAACTGATCCCCAAAATTGCCACAAGATTTCTCCCCCTTCTTATAAACTGGGTTGATCAGTGAAGTACACCAGTCTGAAAGGACTATCTCCAATTCTCATACACTACCTAGTACCTCCATCACTCAAATCACCAATTTCCTACCTCCATCTTTAATAACTTTAAGTGGCAAACTGCTTTACATCGTTTCGGGTTCGTTACAGTTTTCTCAACTTCAAGCAAACTTAGAGGACCGATATATACGTTCCATTCAGTTTAAGACAAGATGTTGGGCAACTGAAGCGTTGGTAAAGTCTACTTGAACTATACTAAAAGAAGTTCTACCCAACGTTCTAGCCGCCTATCCTGAAAAGTTATCAGCGTTCCATCATTTTCGTAAATCCATCCACTAACCATTGTCTTTTTCTTGCCGGTATTCTCAATAAGTCTAAATAGTTACCAGGTGTTATCAAACGCTGATGTTTTATCCATCTGTCTTGTTTTCATCATCCACCACTGCTCCTGATTCACGCGATCACTCTTGGCAGTCACAGTCAGCTGGAATCAGTCTTCTCTCATTAGTCAGTTTCAATGACGTCGTGGAAATCCAATGACGTTTACTAACCTTCAGGTGTAGGTAGGTGGTTATCAATTGTCATATCTTTACTGCTGTCTCTACATTATTATTATTTGTCCCTTGGGTTCCTGATGGAACATAGGGCTTCAGTAGCACGTCTCCAGTGAACTCTGTTCTCTCAAATATTTTCAACCTGGCTCCACGATAGCCCAGAAGCACGATCTCCTCTATTTCACCCTCGGACGCCTAACTCGTCGCTTCCTATCTCGGTTCCACTCGAGGGCCTGACGTGTGATGTCCCCAGTCGGCCTTCTCAGTGTATGCCAATTCAATCCATCTCCACTTCATGATCCTGGAGGACACTAGTTCCCACTGCATGAGAACTTTCGATGCTCTTGGGGACATCATGATAGCCACTCCAAAACTCAGTGTGCTCGTGGTTGTCGTCTGAGTGAGAATATCGGAGTAGATTATTGATTCTCCAGTTGACAGTTTGGAGAGTCCACTCCCATTCCATCTGCTTTCGCAAATTCTAAGCACTTCAATGTGATACCTCTTCATCTCGTTTGCAATCTGGGCTGCCTTGCCAGCCGGCTTGAAACATGGTGCGGACATTCCATATCCCCACGTTTACTTTCGCTTTCATCGATGGAGAGAAGACACATCAGCCAACTGGGTTCCCGAAGGCTTTCACCAACTGGCGTCATTTCGCCTCTCCGATTCCAGTGAGGAATAATTTTGTTTTTATTTTTTATATTTCGTCTATGCTTTGAAGTTTGTTTAGCGGTTAGATTTGTTTTGCGGGGTAGGGTTGCTAGCCCTATGGCTAACCTTCCCTCTTTACCCGGGCTTAGGACCGGCTAGTAACTAGTGAACTAGTTAACCAGGCGAGGTTGCTGTTTCTACAAGTGACTTAATATCACGCCAGGTTTCCTCAGTATAAGCATCGCTGTTCCGTTCACAGTACTGGTTTAGTTATCTTCTCCTTAACTGCGTACTTGACGTTCTAATCTTCCAATCACCTATTTCCTGAGACCAGTAAGGCGTAGACATATACGAGCCCGTACTAGCACGTGAATGGAGTTCAAACTGGTAGTATTGAAAGAGCGACAATCCACCAGTGATCCTCTCCAATGATGATTTATAGCAATATGATCCACCTGTGTCTATCATTCATTTCAAGTCGACAGACGACATATGAGATAATGTCACTCTCGTATATTATCTGAAGTTTAAGACAGTATTCACCATGGCCTGACATTAGTCGGAAAAGTGTTTTATCCTAGTGTGGGAATCATCAACATCACGCGGAATCACGACTATACATGAAGGAGTGAACTGAGAACCATCAGGATGTCACCATTAGGCCACTGCGTTGGAATCCAACGGCCGTCAATACGGTCTATAACGAGATCCATCATCTAAAGTTACTCGTTTGCAGTCACTTCACTCCCAACATGGCTGACACCAGAGATCTAAGACTTCTCATTGGAAATCCAGAAGACCTCTCTCTTTCTCTCTCTCTCTCAAAGCATGTCATTATTGATAACTAGAAAGAAATTCAAATCTGGAGGTTTGTCAGGGATGAATTGATCCCAAGGTGGTAATGATATCAGTCGTTTTTTCCTGGTTCAGGATACCTCAGAAGTGCACATTCACAATCCTGGTGTGGTGAGTTTACATCTCTATAGAACATGGATAAACACTTACCAGGTCCAGCTTTGCTCTTCTCTGTAGAATTCTCTTCTCTTTCCAGCTGATATTGTGCAACGGGATCAAATCCAGATATTTTATCACCTTTTCTATTCAACTCCTGTCTTTCTTTGGTTTCAGCATATCGTGTTGCCCAAAACTGATTCCAACGTAAACGCCAATTATAATATTCTAAACCGCCTTGTCTAAATGATTCACCTAAACTGCAGACAATTTGATCAGCGCGTAGACAACATCGTCTACGCCAGGCTAACATAATTTGGTGTTGAAGAAATACTGTGAACAAAGGTAGTAGTGGGTAGATCAACATTCGCGTAACAATCGGTGCTCGAAGTGGTAACTTCATACCTCTGTTGAGTAGGAATATGGCCTAGATAGGAGAATATTAGAGAAAAATTAGCAAAATAATTCATTAGCCCGCTGTGTGGTCAAGAAAAACCTCATTGGACAATTTTATGCAGCAGTTGACCAATCAGGATAAGCCATTCACAACTTTTCATCTAGTGATTTTATATGCGTTCAGTAAAACTGTTGTATACGGGGTACCACTAGCCTTTATCGACTTTATTCAACAGCTATATGACGACGCTACATGTCAAGTGATTCAAAACACAATGGAAAGCTCAGTGATGCCTTTGAAGTGAAGACAGGAGTAAGACAAGGTTGCCGCCTACTATCGTCGATGATCTTCCTCATCGTGGTCGACTCGACTGGGCTGGATCATGTAAGAAACTGTGAGGAGAGAGATGGGCATAAGCTGTTTGGTCGATGAAAAGACCGTTGAAGATTTGGATTTCGAAAATGATGATCTATGTCCATCTTGTCGCACAAACTCGAAGATCTACAGGCGAAAACTAACAAGTTGACAGAAGAGGCAGCAGGGATGGGACTTCCTTCAAGTGAATGTAGAGAAGACAGAGGTGATGAAGATACCCAACCAACAACAACGACAACAAGCACCAATCACCAACAACGGGAGAAACCTAAAGGAAGGTGTCTCTTCTACCTACCTAGGAGGCAGCATCGTCTCAACTACAAACGAAACAGGCACAGATGAGGATATCAAACCAGCCAGGATCGGAAAGACAGCAAGACAGGCCTTCCTTCATTAATCTGAAATCAGTGTGGAGATCTATTGTACTGCACTGCACTCAGCATGTGGAACAAGACCCGGATTTTCAACACTAAGTCAGTCAAGTCAGTGCTTCTATGTGATGGTTGAGAGAGTTGGCGCGTTACGAAAAGCATTTCCAACAAAATGCAGACATACATGAATAGCTGCTGCCTACTCTCGTTCGATACTGAAGATGGAGACCATATGGCTAGAATAATGAGAATAAGTAACAAGGAACTCTAGCTGACAACCAACCAACCAGGAACCTATCGCCCAACAAATATGGATCAGGCATACACTGAGAAGACCGGCTGGGGACGTCACGCGCCAGGCCAGGTCCACGAGTGGAATCCAAAAGGGAAACGACGAATTGGGCGTCCGAGGAGAGGGTGACGTGGGGATGGTGTGAGGAAGAAATGAAGGGTTATCGGCAGTTGTGAAGCCAGGTTTAAAAAAACTGCAGAGAAGAGAGTGAGATGGAGACGGGCTACTGAAGCCCTATATTCCGCTAGGAACCCAAAGGACAAGTAATAAGACAGTAATAAAACTGTTGTATACAAGCGACGAAGTTTTGTGTCGAATTAAATATCTTACCTACAATCACAGGTGAGTTCTTGTCTTCTGATATTTTCATGGCTCAGTGAAGTAAGTAAGTATAATGTACTGGGGGGAGAAACAGTCACTGTTCTTATCCAGTAGAACTGCCCCATTACATTAGTATTGTTTCACTCGGTCACTTCAACCATACATATCGATGTGACTGGAATCCGATAGCAGGAATCAATTGTGGCTCGATAAATTTGAAGTTATAACAAAGTGACTGAATCGTTCAACGCCTTGAAATGGTAAGTGCTTGGTGGAAGTAACTACGACTCTCTTCCCAGTGTATATTCTCATTGTGGTTATGTGCTGACGGCATTGACGTAAACAAGCTCTATACGGTGCGGTTAAGTGGTGATGGGTTCGTACTACTGCCTCCTGAAAGCCGGTGGTTACGAGTTGAGCCTAGTTTCAAGCAGTCGATGAGATCTATATGCGCAAGATTAGTAGCTCGAGTCTCCAAACCCGGACGGTTTTGTTAGTTGTCAGGATTCCAGGCATGGCTTTGGGAGTGGTGCAATCAATGGATAAGGTGAATCCAACCAGCTTCTTAATTCAGCTAGTTTCTAAAGATGGGTGTAGTCTTTACTTGTGAAGGTCAATGATAATATGTCCCGAATGCCGATGTCCTTAGCCCTAGTCTTGACAGTATTTCTGTAGCCCGAACTGAGCCACCGTTGTGAATGTCGGGATTATGGCTTCATGAGACAGGTCCATTAGAGGAATGAGTATCTTCTCATGAAGGTGAGCTGCACTCAGGTCTCCAAGGTAAGTGGAGACTTCAGTGAGACACATCTCACTTCCATCTACCCATGAAGAGGTGAGCACAGTCAACAAAGTGTGACAGTCAGGAGGGTTCTGGGATAACACTGATTATTTTGAGGTGGGGGTAACAGAATGCCATGGCAGGAGTATCCCTTTTTGTGTGGGTGTAATACTTACATGTTTTCTGTTTGGTGAGGCGGGTGAACTAAGGTGCCGATCAAGGAGATCATGCCTGGAGCATAATTGCGCCTAACATCTACAGTTTTCAAGTTTCAAAATGAAATACTTAAACAAACTCAGAGGGTTGCCATGGGATCACCAACATCCCCTAACGTCGCAGACATATTTATGGATAGTTAGGAATAGGTGGCCCCTCAAACAATTGGTCCCTACTCCAAAGATATGGTTGCGATATGTAGATGATACGCTTACAATACTGAAGTCGGAACACATCTGCAGGTAGTGGAGAATATTTGTAGCTCAGGTGGATGGTCTTGGTTGTATTGTGTTCTCTCAGCTGGCTTGTTTACTCGTGTACCTTTCATCGTCTTTCTAGACAGCGAAATCATCAGGACCAACTTCAGTATGAAGTGAGCTACCTGTCAATATCTCTCACAATACAACCGAGAATATGAATAGGTTCTTGATATACATAAATTCAGTAGTGAATGCAATCCAATTTGCCTATGACTTAGAAAGTGATGAAGGTGAACTAGCAATGTTGGATTACAAGATGAAATGAATAGAATATGGAAGTTTAGAGACTAGCTTCGTCTGTAGGAAACCTTCATATTCGAATTGCTACTTAGACTTCGAATCCTCCCACCTCATTTCAGTTAAAGTAGGTCTAGTTAAATGCTTAGGTGATAGAGCGAAAAAGCTTACTAGTAGATCGGAGAATCTACGACAAGAAATTGGACATATCAAGAATACCTTGTGTGTCAATAACTGAGAGAGAATTCAAAGCCTCTACTGTGTTATCTACTACACAAGGAAGGCACCTCAGAAACAGTATGAAGAATTCCCTATAAGGCTGACTAGGAGGATTAGAGTGTGATTGAAACCCACAAACCTGCTTAGAAACAAACTTTGTATGTTAAAACATCCTATTGATCCAGTTAAGCAGAATAATTTGGTGTACCAAATCCATTATAATGATTGTGAGGTCAAATATATAGGTGAAAGTAGTCGAATAGTCAGGGTTGATTAGAATAACAGAACATGAAAACTTATCGAAATCAAGATTAGGAGATCCTTAAGAGATAAGGAAGCTAGAGAAAACCTCACCTACCACTATGCACACAATCATACAGTAAGGGTGGGGTAAAGCGATAGCGTTAAAAACTAACTTAGTTGGATGGAGAGAAGGAGACATTGATAAGGGAATCTCTGTTCACTGAACCAACACCAAATATATACAGCAATAGAAATGATTCTGCACCTGTTCCAGATACTTGGAGAATACTACTACCCTTGTTTATTAGGGGCGCGTGTAGTGCACAGCAGTTAGCTCTGTTCTACTGTACGGCTGTGAAACATGGCCATTGAAAGTGGAAGACATGAGAAGGCTTCAAGTGTTTGACCACCATCGCCTTCGTAGTATATAGGCCGTATTCCATGGCATCACCACGTGAGTGACGCAGATATCAGCTATAGAGCTTTAGGGAGGGAGTAGAGGTAAGTCAGTTGACGAGGTTGTGAACCTTCATCGACTGAGATGGTTGGCTGTGACACGTACTACGTATGTCTTGTCACCGATTGCCTCGTCACACAATGTTGGCTGACGTGGGTCCAGGCTGAAAAAAGGCCCGAGGTGGCCAGACTAAAACATGGCACCAATGCATGAAGTCTCTGACCGTTGGTTTAAGCCATGTAGGACGACGCAGACTAGGTGGTTGGGGTCCACGGAATAAGAGAAACCAGTGGTTGGAGACCCTAGGTGATATGGCTCAGAACCTAGGTGAGTGGCGCAGATGTATACACACATTATCCTCATCTTAACCACACTATACCGAATCTCACCATTTTGTCACTCCTCTTTCCTTTCTTCTCGTACTTTATATTCCTTTTGACTGCATTCATTTATCTTCATCCTTCGCCTCACTACCATTTTACTTGATGAACTGACGTGAGGTGTGGCGACTCGGAGCGTTACGCAATAATACCTGGTCCTATGTTGATATCGATGATGATAACTCACTTCTAGTGTGGTGAATTGAACCACCGTACTGTTTTTCTTTTGGATAACATTCTATCTTGAGCATATGTATATGTGGATATCATGATAATAAAAAAAACAACCCAGCTAACAAATATGAAAAGTAAATTATGAGTAGAATAACTCACTTGATATGATAAATACAAACTGCCAATTAATCCACCGATAGTCAGTAATGATTGACCACGAGCTGATAAAGTTAATTTTAGGCCAGTTGATGTAATCCCTTGTAGTCGAACAATTTCACGTGCTATAAGAAAGCGTAAAGCTGATTCTGGTATAATCATAAGTTCCATAAGTTCTTGACCTATTTTTGAAAATGGTCCATACGGGAAATAAGATCTAAAAGTAGAGAGAAAGTATAAAAAGTAAAAATCAATAGAGTATTGAGAAGTGAAAGGGTGGCAGTTCCCACCTTAAACTACTGATATCTGTGATAGACTTACTGAGTGCTAAAGCAGACGCATTACTTTCATACAGTCCTTTCGCTTGACAAATTTAAACACAGCATATACCAATCCAAGCTTTAGAAGAAGTCTTCAACCACTCATTCCTATCATTTCGAGGGCCCCATTCAGGTAGTCAACACAACTCATGACCAACACAGTCGGTGACTTTATGCGTTGTTGCTTTCGTCCAACCTAACCTGGAGGAAACTTGAGTGCTGATCGAGTTGTGAGGGCGATTGACACTTCCCGGCTGCCTACACCATGGAAGGCTATTTCTTCTTAAGGCATCTGGAAGACATTTGTGTGACCGCACACACGTAGCCTTTTTTCAGTATGATTATTTTGAACTTTTGTATTTTTGGGGCCGGATGGTCGAAAGGAAACGACAAATGAAACAACACCGCCGGCCTGGCAGACCGTGGGGCCTGGTGCAGTGTGTTATTTTGGGGGCTGACTTTATCTAACCCCCCCTTCCACTGAGAAGGCAGGCAGCATCAGCATGGCACTGTCGGTCATCCAAGGGAAACACCTTACTGCTGTTACACCTCATCCAGCTAGCAGCAGTACGACTTCGCCCTTAGACCACCATCATAGTGTAGTAATTTACACTACAACGGTAACTGCTTTTGTCTAACAACTATCCAACAGACGTTTCTGGTATGGTAGGACCTCGAGGGAACAAGTGTTCCACCAGTATAGCTCGTTGGGTCATTGTGATATGCAAGCCCGACCATCACATCAAGGAAGCATCTATTAGTCAGGCCAACCTAAACCATCTTTTCCAAGTATGAAACCTTGAGGTAAGTGGTGGCTTAGTGTGCCGAATACATGTCCAAGCCACCTCATTTGACTATGGTTCACAACCTCGTCAACTTACTTGCCTATTACCCTGTCTCTGACCTCCATATTGTTCACATGGTAATTCTACCGAACGCTAGCAATGTTGCGAAGACACTCGTCAGAGGGATCTAAGTTTATGTTCATTAGTATGTCTATAATGAAGGTGAATAGGAACGGTGACATTGGGAACTCCTGATGGACATCATTAGTTATCAGGAATTTCCATGAAAAATCTCCATAAGCCATGACACGACCGTGTGAGTTCCAGTAGAGAGCTTTGACTAGCGTTACCAACTTATTCGGTACTCCTCTATCATCAACATCCATCAACATAGGACCAGACATTACTGCGTAACCCTCCCCGACTTGCCACACCTCATATCAATACATCAAGTAAGGAAGGATAACCAGTGAAGTGGAAGATGAATAAAGGAAAATCCAGTCAAAAGGGAACATAAAGTAATAAAAGAGAGAAAGAAAGAATGACAAAATGGTGAGATTAGGTATAGCGTCGTTAAGATGAGGATAATGTGTGTTGTGACGATACATCTGCGCCACTCACATCCCTTTTCAGCCATGATACATCACCTAGAGTCGGTCTTCAACCACTCGTTTCTCTTGTCCCATGAACCTCAAACCACCTAGTCTGCATCGCCCCACATACATGGCTCAAACCAACAGTCAAACACTTCATACATTGGTGTCATGTTTTAGTCTGGCCAGCCCGAACCTCCTTCGGCCAACATTGTGCGACAAGGCAGACGGCCACTAGGCATACGTGACACGTGTCCCGGTCAGCCAACCAACCATCTCAGCCGATGAAGGTTCACAACCTCGTCAACTGACTTACCTCTTCTCCCTCCCTAAAACTCTACACTTGACTTCTGCGTTACTCACGTGGTGTGGTGACACTACGGAATACGGCCTTTATTACGAAGGCAACAGTTGTCAAACACCTGAAGCTTTCTCATATCTTCCACCTTCAATGGCTGTTTTACAGGTATACAGTAGAACAGACCGGACTGCCGTGAAGTACACGCAACCCTTAAAAGACAATCGTATATTACAGTGGCGCCACATATGGCGTAAGTTGGCAAAAGCCAACTAGGCCTTTTGTATTCGTGCAGAGATTTCATCAGCCACTGAGCCACTATAGTAGGGCAGGGTTGATCCTACTTGCCAGGTAAGTGAAGTAAGTAGTCGACAAACTCAACCACTACACTCACTCTGTATTGTTAGCCGTGGTGGGGCACCGTTGAAGACCAGTCGTGTGGCAACAATTTGCATTTCGGTGGTGAGAATCGCATCCCAAACATTCTCGAATAGCCACTCAAAGTGTGCAGGAGACTCTGCATCTTGTCAGCATTTTCACCTAACAGGATCTCAATAACATCTTACGGTCAACAGAGTCAAATTTCGTCTTCAAGTCTAGAAATATGATGTGTCAGCCACTGGTAAGTATGCCAATAGTTTAAAACTTGTCAAGAGGTGAAAGGAACTCCGGGAACGAACCAACGAGGCAAGAACCTATTACCCAACAAATATGCAGAAGAGGGAAGTGGAGATGGATTAGGCATACACTGAGAAGGTCGATTGGGAACATCACGCGCCACGCCCTCAAGTGGAACCCAAAGGGGAAACGACGAGTTGGGGGTCCAAATAGAGGGTGACATAGAGGAGATGGAGACGTGCTACTGAAGTCCTATGTTCCACTAGGAACCCAAGGGAAAAATAATCATTTAGAAAAAAGACTGAGTGAGCAAGGGAAGAAGTGTATATTCTTTGTCAATTAGGTCCGTGTTCATCTTGGACTCTACACTAATATGCATAGTTTTACAATTGAATCAAATTACCAATCATGTGGTGATGTTTCGGAAATAATCATGTCAATAATCAATAGAGTAACTAAGAAATTGGAAATATGAATATTGATAGAAACAAGGGGAACGGGGGAAGAGGTGTACAAAGTAAACCTAGAAGTTACATCATGTTGTGACAGCGGCCACAATAATGAAAGTGGTTGAAGAAACTTCTTTTGGATACAAAGGCTAGGTTTGTAAAGGTGGATTGCAATCACCTCTGCTACGTGAAGTAACCGAGTGCATAATCCATGTGGTAAATCAATTGGAATCCGATGGATGATTTTGAAGGCTTTTCTAGTATCCACTTGATGTCCTGTGTCAACTAAGTGTCCACGTATGGAGGTCTTTATAGCTCTAATTTGTCCCTTGTTCAACCATGATGGATAGTGATCAGAAATTCGACGATGGTCCTGCCTTATAGTACGCCTAAAGTAACTAGCTGCACAGGAGTAGTTGAATTGATAAATGCACATAGAAATGGCAGAATCAGGCAGTTTGTCTTTATTTCTTCCACCTAAAGTCTGGCGGTTGTAGAAGGCGCGAAATAATTCAGAGGCTAGGAATGCTTTATGCAAGACTCTTTTTATGCATTGTATGATAATTTCACTGGCAATATCATTCTTAAATTGTAGCTTCAAAAAGATTTATTTCTTAGGAACTGTTGGCATTGTTATACTAACCCTCGTAATATTCATGTGCTTAGTTACAAACTTGTCTGGGTAGCCATATTCTTACTAAGCAGATAATAATAATAATCATGTCGAGAGGTGAAAATTTTATTGATCCACCATGCCCCCCCCCCTGAAACAGAAGATAAACCAGTGCAAGGATGCTCAACGACAAGAGGAAATGAGTACAATGTATAAAACACTGGACAAAGAAGTGAAGAAGAGTGCACGGAAAGACAAAAGACACTACTACGAAACACTGGCAAGTGAAGCAGAACAGGCTGCAGGTAGGAGAGACCTGACAACATTGTATCAAATAACCAGGTTGCTATCTGGGAAGAGATCAACGTAGATGAAACCAAAATAAAAGATGATGAAGGAAATTTAATTACGAAAGAAGAGAAACAAAGGAAACAATGGGCCGACCACATCAAGAAGCTCTTGAATCGACCACTACTTGCACTTCGTCCAGAAATACCACCTACAGCCCAGCCACAGAACTACAAGTGAACATAAATCCCCCAACAAAAATGGAAGTCCTGAATGCCATAAAGCTACTGAAATGCAGGAAAGCAGCAGGACCAGATGGGATCCCCCCAGAAGCACTGAAAACAGACGTAGAGACAACAACAGCGGACATGCTCACACCACTATTGCAGAAGGTGTAGAAGGAAGAGAAGGTACCTGGCGATTGGAAGTAGGGTTACCTTGTCAAACTGCCGAAGAACGGTGACATCAGTGTTTGCAAGAACTGGCGACGAATCACTCTCCTGTCCAACCAATGCAAGTAAAATATTAAGCCGCATCATCCTGGAGAGGCTAAAGGATGCGCTGGATTCAAAACTACGACCGGAACAGGCAGGCTTAAGGAAATACAAATCATGTGCAGACCAAATTGCAACACCACACTACGCTTCATCATAGAACTGAGTATAGAATGGCAGTCAACTCTCTACCTCAATTTCATCGACTTTGAGAAGGCCTTTGACAGCGTCGACCAACAGGTAATTTGGAAACTGCTTCATTACTACGGAGTACCGCAAACCTTTATCCGCCTCATTCAACAACTATATGAAGACGCCACATGCCAAGTAATTCACAATGGGAAGCTCAGTGATGCCTTTGAAGTGAAGTGAAGACAGGAGTGAAACAAGGTTGCCTACTATCCCCCATGATCTTCCTAATTGTGGTCGACTGGATCATGCAACAAACAGTGGGGAGCTGTGAGAAGAGGGGGATACGCTGGACTGCGGAAAATAACCTAGAAGATCTGGATTTCGCCAGTGATGACTTGTGCCTGGTGTCACACAAACTTGAAGATCTACAGGCGAAAACTAACAAGTTGGCAGAAGAGGCAAGGCAGCGAAGACGGGACTTCAGGTGAATATAGAGAAGACAGAAGTGATGAAGATACCGTACCACTACCACCAACAACAAGCTCCAATCACCATCAGCGAAAGAAACTTAAAGGAAGTAACCTCCTTCACCTATCTAGGAAGCACTGTTTCAACTACAGGCGGCGGTGGCACAGACGAGGATGTCAAAGTCAGAATCGGAAAAGCAAGACAGGTGTTCATTAGTCTGAAACCAGTGTGGAGATCTTCTGCACTCAGCATGTGGAACAACATCCGGATTTTCAACACCAACGTCAGTCAAGTCAATGCTTGTGTATGGTTCAGAGACTTGGCGCGTCACGAAAGGGATTTCCAATAAACTACAGACATTCATCAACAACTGCTTACGCTGGCTCGCTACTGAAGATCAGATGGATCGCCAGAAAGAATAAGCAACAAGGAGCTCTGGGAACGAACCAACCAAGAACCTATCACCTAACAAATATGCATTGGAAGGAAGTGGAGATGGATTGGACATACACTGAGAAGGCCGACTGGGGACATCACGCGTCAGGCCCTCTAGTGGAATCCCCATGGGAAGCGACGAGTTGGGCGTCCGAGGTGAGGGTGACATGGAGGAGATCGTGCGAGGAGGAAATGAGAGCTTCTGGGCTGTCGTGGAGACAGGTTCAAAAGATTTCGGCGAACAGAGGTCACTGGAGACGTGCTACTGAAGCCCTATGTTTCATTAGGAACCCAAAGGACTAATAATAATAATAATAATAACTTACCGATAAAATTCCACATGATCGAATGGAATTTCAGCAGAATTTCATATGTACAAAAATATGGTAAACCAATAAATGCATAACCAGGTGATTGTAATGAACCTAAAACAATTGATTCATCTATAGATGTTAAAAAGATATCTAATTGTGCTTTTTGATAATCTGTTATATTGAAATATGAACATATCTAATGTAGAAAAGATAATTAATGGAGTATAATGTAGATTTACCTCATTTGTTAATTGATTAATTCGTTTAGATGGTTTCAATTCCCAATCGAATTGAAATTTTGTTAATGACCAACGATTAAGTACTTCATAATATGGTTGAGTAATAATAGCTAATGAATATACAGTAGTTGAGCATAATAATACTAATTTTTGTGAATGTTTTGTAAGGAATATTGTAAATTTATTCATCATTCTATTATAGTATAGTAATATATTATAGAAATACCACTAAAGTGTTGATTTCATCTAAAGAAAAGGTAGATAACATATTGATATTCATCATTATCATCAATAATATCAATATAGGAACATGAAGAATGAGAAAATGATGAGATTCTGTATAGCCTCGTTAAGATGAGGATAATCTGCATTACTGATATCGATTCAGAGCCATATCACTGATTCATTTTGTCCTGCGAACTCCAACCACACTTAGTCTGCATCGCTCCAAAAGTCAAACATTTCATAAACTGATGCCAGCCTGAGCCTACTTCTGCTAACATAATGTGATGAAGCAGACGGCAACTAGGCATACGTAATACGTGTCCTAACTATCTTATTCGATGCTTGAACCGAAAAGGAAAATCTAAGCGAATCATTAAAAGTGGATTACATTAGGTTTCAGGTGTTGAACTACTAATGTCTGAGAAACAGTCGTCATATGTTGTGGGATCAGTATATGGTTCATTCAGAGGTTAGGCGTAGAGCCCTAGGCTTCTATTATCTCGTCATTGATTGGATCGAAATGGTCGATCTTTAATGGTATATGAACTCCTACGCGGAAGCCTCACTATTGCGTCTCGTTTCAATTCTATGGTAAAGATGGATAGTGATTAACAGTTCAGTCCAGGACACGGGCTTCGTCCTATTTGGGAGTGAATCGCCAACTGGATGTAGCTACCTCCGAGTGAGCTATCCTATTCTCAGCTTCGAGTTTTATTGGGAACAATATCACTTCAATCAATCAATATCAACATAGGACCAAACATTACTGTGTAACCCTCCTCGACTTGCCACACCTCATATCAATACATCAAGTAAGGAAGGATAACCAGTGAAGTGGGAGATGAATAAAGGAAAATCCAGTCAAAAGGGAACATAAAGTAATAAAAGAGAGAAAGAAAGAATGAGAAAATGGTGAGATTCGGTATAGCGTCGTTAAGATGAGGATAATATGTGTGCCGATACATCTGCGCCACTCACATCGGTTCTCAGCCATGTCATCACCTACGGTCAGTCTTCGACCACTAGTTCCTCTTATCCCGCCGACCCCAACCCAACCACCTAGTCTGCATCGCCCCACATACATGGCTCAAACCAACAGTCAAACACTTCATACATTGGTGCCATTTTTCAGTCAGGCCACCTTGAGTCTTTTTCCAGCCTGAGCCTACTTCGGTCAACATTGTATTACGAGGCAATCGGTGACTAGGCATACGTAGTACGTGTCCCAACCATCTCAATCGATGAAAGTTCATAACCTCGTCAACAGATTTACATCTACTCCCTGAAACTCTACTCCCAACTTCTGCACTACTCACGTGGTGACACCATGGAATACGGCATATACTACGAAGTCAACGGTGGTCAAACACTTGAAGGCTTCTCATATCTTCCACCTTCAATGGTCATGTTTCACAGGCATACAGTAGAACATAGAGGACTGCTGCGCAGTATACACGACCCTTAGTAGACAATCGGATATCACGGTGGTGGTGCCATAGGTGGTGTAAATTGGCAAAAGCCAATCGGGGCTTTTGTATCCGTGCAGAGATTTCATCAGCAACTGACCCACCAGGTCAAGGCTGATGCTACTTCCCAGGTAAGTGAAGTAAGTAGTGGACACACAACCACTACACTCACTCTATATTGTTAGCCGTGGCACCGCTGAAGACCTGTCCTGGAGCAAAAATTTGCATTTCCGTGGTTAGAACCACATCCCAAACATTCTCGAATTACCAGTCAAAGTGTTCAAAAGACTCTGCATCTTGTCAGCGTCTTCACCTAACAGGACACTGTCATCTGCATATTCTAGGACTAAGGAAAATTCCCCACCGATTAGGTCAACGTCTGTGCAACCTGGTGATGAGAGACAGACCTCCATAAGATAGGCAGGTACGTCCAGTTGACAAGTCACAAGTAATACGAAACGCGCGTACTGGGAAACAGTAGGTCATTCGATAAAACTGTACATCTATCTTAGAAATAATGCTAAGTGCACTTGCCCTTCTGTCCTTTACGCTTCCATAGTTATATTATCACCGCACACCTCTATAGTGTTAAGTGATAGATAAGCAGCTAGAAATTGTTAAGCAAAGCACAAAACACGGTCAACACTGCTGAAGTAACATTTTAATGCAGGCGCATATAATGGCAAGTTTTATTCGCGTGAAATACTTATATGCATATTTTGTATAAATATACGTTGATTACAGTGTTCTTTTTCTAAGATTATTAATTTCATCTTCTTAGCTAATCAATTTTTTTTTATAAGTGTTTGATTGTGAAAGCGGTAGATCTAAAATAAGACGTTAATAGCCTTCGATACAAGGATACATCATGAATTACACCTTCACAACAGAAACGAAGGTTGTTCAACATACTAATTCCATGGTATTGAGCTAAAATGGTAGGTTGTTGAAACTGATAAATTTTGTCAGACACATTGATTTCAGTGCAAAAAGCTTCTCTCGCAGTGAATACAACACAAAACAGTAGTCCATCTTCTTCGTCGGATATGGAAACAGACTGGGTGAAAAACTATTTCATCAAGCTCCCCATACATCTTTTAAGAGAAACGTAAATCAACTGGGAGGTGTTACAGGATCACATGAAACAAGATTTACTGTCATGATCAATGTAAAATCCAGGTTTCATTATCAGTATATTGGAATTCCAGATAGCAGAAAAAGAAGTTCGACATTACAGTAGGCATTGATGCGTAATGATCTAAGTCGCCACACCTCATATCAGTACATTAAGGGATAAAACACTAAGATGAAAGATAAACTAATAGAGAAGGAAGCAGTCAAAATAGTATAGTGACTAAGATGAGGATAATGTATGGATACACCTGCGAAAGTGACATCCATTCTAAGCCATGTCAGAGTAACCCAGAAGTCAGGAGTAGAGTTTTAGGGAGGGAGAAGAGGTGAGTCGGTTGATGAGGTTGTGAACCTTAATCAACTGACATAGTTGACTGTGACACGTATTACGTATGCTTAGTCACCGATTGTCTGGCCTAAGTAGGTCCAGGCTGGAAAAAGACTCGAGGTGGTCAGACTAAAACATGGCACCAATGTATGAAGTCACTGACTTTTGGTTTGAGCAATATGGGGCGATGCAGACTAGTCGGTTGAGGTCCGTGAGACAAGAGTAACCAGTGGTGGTTGGAGACTGACTCTAGGTGATGTATCATGGTTGAGAACCGATGTCAATGGCGCAGATGTATCCCCACAACACACATTATCCTCATCTTAACGACGCTATACTGAATCTCACTATTTTGTCATTCTTCCTTTCTTTCTTCTCGTACTTTATATTTCCTCTGATTCAATATTTTTCTTTATCTTCTACTTCACTGCTTATCCTTGTTTACTTGATGTGCTGATATGAAGTGTGGCAACTCGGGGAGGGTTACGCAGTAATGCCTAGTCCTATGTTGATTTGGATGGATAGATATGCGTGAATTTAGGATGATATTCAATTTCAGGACCAAATGCGTCGAAATACAGACTGACTACTGAGATGTCATAAAACTTACAAGGTAGTCTGTTTTTTTTAACTGATACAGTTTAAAGGTAACACTTATGAGTTGACTAAGAGAATATGTCATCTAAGGAGTATGGTGAACAAGCTGGTAGAATTGTGTACAGACAAAAATGACATGAAGATGTATGATCTAGAAAGGAAGCTATTAGATGTAAAGTTGTATGAGGATGTTTATGATAAGATTTTTATTTTAGTTAACTCAGATATCGAGTTTTCCATTCAAAGGATCATAGGCACTATATTCTTATTGGAATAGAGTATAAAGTATTCAACCAAGTACACCAAAGATGCCGTTAACACAAACATTGTTGGCCTAAGTTGTAAATATCACGTAAATTCATTTTTCCCCAATAGCTATTCTTAAGATCTACAGACACTGAAGTGATGGAGGGTTTATGGAAGCGAAGAAGATTATCATGCAGGTATGGGATACTGGTTTTACGACAACAAGGAGTCGATTAAAGAAACAGGAGAGAAGTAGGCCTCTTCAACAATACTTATCTCTATTCTAAGGATGTTCTGGATGAAGCAGAAACTAGAGAAGCAATTGAACACTGAATGGATGGCGTTGAACAGTTTATGATCAATGGGAACGTAGTGTCTTTTGTTCAATAGATTTAACTTCTTAATTTCAAAGAATTGCTATTAATGTAACAAGAAAGCATGATGATCATATTTTGTTGGCATTATTGTTGTCAAACTGTTTGATGACTCATTGAATAAGCATGAGTAAAACAACTAGGTGACCGCGAAAAGTGCTGGAGTCTCCAGGCTGGCCTAAGGAACTATAAAAACTTTCTGGCATTGCAGAATATGTAGTATATTGCCTTGAGTTCACCCTAAGCTTTTTATGACAGAATCAGTGCAAAGTTACCGAAGTGTGACCGAATTATTTGCCGGTTGGATATTAATAAAGACTGACAATTCAATTGCGATGGTTAACTAACAAAACTTCAAAATTCCAGCTTTTTTAAAGTATCACTGACTTGTGGACTCCTAAGAAATCAAGAATGCAAATGTTTTTTTTAAAACGGAGTGTGTTCTATCATATTAAAAATTGGTGCTAAGTAAGGAAATTAACAACATAAATCTAAACATTCTAAGACAAAAAAAGTGAACGTATATTTCGAGATACTTACCGGAGCACAGAATCCTGAAACAAAACCAGTTCTAACACTGCTTCTGAATCTGTAAACAGATTTTGCTACCTTTTGACCCTGAGATCGAAAAAGCCTCCAACGCGCAACATCCAACATTCAAGTGAGGTCGTATATAGGTCTAGTACAGCTTGAGGAGGAGTAACAGAGTAGGGCATTTAGTTGTCTACGTATAAAGTGCAGTAGTGCGTAGGCTCTGGAAGCATCTTTTGGGTAATTGTAGCAGTTGTCTAGCTTGTTAGTCATCACTGGTACCAGGTCTTT